GTCTGTACTGCGGGTCTCGTATAGTCTGTACCGCGGGTCTCGTGTAGTCTGTACCGCGGGTCTCGTATAGTCTGTACCGCGGGTCTCGTATAGTCTGTACCGCGGGTCTCGTATGGTCTGTACCGCGGGTCTCGTGTAGTCTGTACCGCGGGTCTCGTATAGTCTGTACCGCGGGTCTCGTGTAGTCTGTACCGCGGGTCTCGTATGGTCTGTACCGCGGGTCTCGTGTAGTCTGTACCGCGGGTCTCGTATAGTCTGTACCGCGGGTCTCGTATAGTCTGTACCGCGTATCCCCACCACACAAAGTACACAAAATATTCATGTATGCGCGGTTTTTGTGGCGCGGTTGCCCACTTTCTTCCGCGGTGGGCAAGGTTGCAAAACCTTTGCGTTCACACAGCAACCTTATTTTTTGTTACCAACCATACATTCCTTAATGTATTCACACATGCCGCTGTATTAGGGTCCTCTGTGTGTCTCACATGTATGCTGGATGTATGCTCGCAGCGTATGTGTGGACGAGGTTCGTGTATCGATCATGTATTAGTCTGGTCTGTATTGAACATACAAGTGTATTGATTCCAACATGCATATATCAACGGGCCATGCCAACCCGACATAAGCTTGGATACTCCATACATTTCCGATGTATTCATGGCAATTCATTAATGTAGGAATGTATGAATGAATAATAGATGCTTAGGTTTTGTATCTAATTCGTCTTTGTTATGTTTATATCGTCTATTGGTTTCAATTGTAATGCTAATTGATTAGAGGAGGAGACGTGAACGCGGCCATCCGTGCCGCAGTTGCCACATGTCGCCAGACCCGCCGTCGGCCATCTTGTGGAACCCGAAGCAAATTTTTTAAATGGTTTGCTAAATGAAAGAGCGGGAGAGTTATTGAATAGAATCCAGGCATAGGTCTCATGCACTAATGAATAGTCTGTTTTTGCCGTTAGTTTAACATAATCGATGCAGGGTAAAGTTTTATAAGCGATTTATCACCGCTTGCTGCCGCTTCGTCATCGGTTAAGTGCTTTTTCAACGACAATTTTTTTGTTCTATGTGACTAATAGCTTTTATGAGAGCGCTCAGCGTGTAAAGTAAGGTTCAATATATGGTTTATATGTAATTTGAACCTTTAATTCTCAGTTATAGCGGTCTAATTGACGACTTTTATGATAATGACTGCAAGATATAATCTAATCTGCTTATTCAGGCTGCGTCAGTTGCCAAGTACTCTTTTAAAAATAAATTGTTTCGTTGTTTTTACACTTCCGGTTGTGGTTTCGCCCCAAAACCTCAATTCTTAACCGGAATTTACCCTTCTGCTTGAAGTTGAACGTCGGTTCGGGTCGCCGGGGCAGGTTTTATGATGGAAAACATTGATTTCCTTTTCTGGTTCTCATCTGTGTTCGTTCGTTCGTGCGTCGACCCATGTGCGTGTCCGTGTACGGGTAACGGGTGTGCGCGTCGGTGTACGGGTGTGCGTGTCTATGTACGGGTGTGCGTCTCGCGGCTATGGGCGTGAAAGTGCCGCGTGTACGTAACACCTGTGTACGTATTCGTTACGCACACGCGGGCGTCCGAAATAATCTCACTTTTTCTGAATTTATTTTCGTGTACGTGTCATACGCACACGTTATACACACGTACACGTGTACTGTGTTTCAGAACACATGTGCTGTGTGCGTGACATGTCATGTGTACTTGTGTGCGGGGAATCCATACATGAATTAACACAAGATGGCCCTGTATAAACACCTGTGTACTTTGTGAACATGGATGTACGTGTAGGTCGTGTACGTGCATGTACGTGTATGGCGTGTACGTGTACGGCGTGTACGTGTACGGCGTGTACGTGTACGGCGTGTACGTGCATAGACTGGGGTAAATGTGGGGGTGTGTAGAGTAA